ACAAATCAGGTCTCAACTGATACCAAAAGATTGAGATAATTCCCTGCATATTTTCAGACCACAATGCTCTAAAACTGGAACTCAATCACAAGAAAAAATTTGGCAGAAATTCAAACACTTGGAAGCTAAAGACCACTCTGCTCAAGAATGTTTGGGTCAACCAAGAAATCAAAGAAGAACTTAAACATTTCATGGAAATCAATGAGAATGAAAACACATTAGTCCCAAACCTATGGGATACTGCAAAGGCGGTCCTAAGGGGGAAATACATAGCCATCCAAGCCTCAATCAAAAAACAGAAAAATCCCGAATTCACCAACTAACTCTACACCTTAAAGAACTAGAGAAAAAGCAACAAATGATGCCTAAGCCACGCATTAGAAGAGAAATAATTAAAATTAGAGCAGAAACCAATGAATTAGAAACCAGAAACACAGTAGATCAGATTAACGAAACTAGAAGTTGGTTCTTTGAAAGAATTAATAAGATCGATAAACCACTGGCCAGACTTATCCAAAAGAAAAGAGAAAGGACCCAAATTAAAAAAATTATGAATGAAAGGGGAGAGATCACGACTAACACCAAGGAAATAGAAACAATTATTAGAAATTATCAACAACTATATGCCAATAAACTGAGCAATCTGGATGAAATGGCGGCCTTCCTGGAAACCTATAAGCTGCCAAGACTGAAACAGGAAGAAATTGATGACCTGAATAGGCCAATAACCAGTAACGAGATTGAAGCAGTGATCAAAAACCTCCCAAAAAAACAAGAGTCCAGGGCCTGATGGATTCCCTGGGGAATTCTACCAAACATTCAAAGAAGAAATAATACCTGTTCTACTGAAGCTGTTTCAAAAAATAGAAACAGAAGGAAAACTTCCAAACTCATTCTATGAGGCCAGCACGACCTTAATCCCCAAACCAGGCAAAGACGCCATCAAAAAGGAGAATTTCAGACCGATATCTCTGATGAATATGGATTTCAAAATCCTAGCTAAGAGGATCCAACAATACATTAAAAGGATCATCCACCATGACCAAGTGGAATTTGTCCCCGGGATGCAAGGGTGGTTCAACATTCGCAAATCAATCAATGTGATAGAACACATTAATAAGAGGAGGGAGAAGAACCATATGGTCCTCTCAATTGATGCAGAAAAAGCATTTGACAAAATACAACATCCTTTCCTGATTAAAACTCTCCAGAGTATAGGGATAGAGGGAACATTCCTCAAGTTCATAAAATCCATCTATGAAAAACCCACAGCGAATATCATCCTCAATGGGGAAAAACTTGAGAGCCTTTTCCTTAAGATCAGGAACACGTCAAGGATGCCCACTCTCGCCACCATTGTTCAACATAGTACTAGAAGTCCTAGCAACAGCAATCAGACAACAAAAAGAAATAAAAGGTATTCAAATTGGCAAAGAAGAAGTCAAACTCTCTCTTTTCGCAGATGACATGATGCTTTATGTGGAAAACCCAAAAGACTCCACCCCCAAATTACTAGAACTCATCCAGCAATTCAGTAATGTGGCAGGATACAAAATCAATGCACAGAAATCTGTTGCTTTCTTATACGCTAACAACGCAACTGTAGAAAGAGAAATTAGAGAAACGATTCCATTTACAATAGCACCAAAAACCATAAGATACCTCGGAATAAACCTAACCAAAGAGGTAAAGGATCTATACTCTAGGAACTACAAAACACTCATGAAAGAAATTGAAGAAGACACAAAAAGATGGAAAAACATATCCTGCTCATGGATCGGAAGAATAAACATTGTTAAAATGTCTATGCTACCCAGAGCAATCTATACCTTCAGTGCCATCCCGATCAAAATTCCAATGACATTTTTCAAAGTGCTGGAACAAACAATCCTAAAATTTGTATGGAATCAGAAAAGACCCCGAATCGCCAAGGAAATGTTGAAAAAGAAAAACAAAGCTGGGGACATCACGTTGCCCGATTTCAAGCTGTGATCACCAACACAGCATGGTACTGGCACAAAAACAGACATACAGACCAATGGAACAGAATAGAGAACCCAAATATGGACCCTCAACTCTATGGTCAAATAATCTTTGACAAAGCAGGAAAAAACATGCAATGGAAAAAAGACAGTCTCTTCAATAAATGGTGCTGGGAAAATTGGACAGCCACATGCAGAAGAATGAAACTTGACCATTCTCTAACACCATTCACAAAGATAAACTCAAAGTGGGTGAAAGACCTCAATGTGAGACAGGAATCCATCAAAATCCTAGAGGAGAACATAGGCAATAACCTCTTTGACATCACCCACAGCAACTTCTTTCAAGATACATCTCCAAAAGCTAGTGAAACAAAAGCAAAAATGAACTTTTGGGACTTCATCAAGATAAAAAGCTTCTGCACAGCAAAGGAAACAGTCAACAAAACAAAGAGGCACCCACACAATGGCAGAAGATATTTGCAAATGACACTACAGATAAAGGGCTGGTATCCAAGATCTATAAAGAACTTCTCAAACTCAACACCCAAAAAACAAATAAGTCAAAAAGTGGGCAGAAGATATGAAAAGACACTTCTCTGAAGAAGACATACAAATGGCTAACAGACACATGAAAAAATGTTCATCATCATTAGCCATCAGGGAAATCCAAATCAAAACCACACTGAGATACCACCTTACACCAGTTAGAATGGCAAAAATGGACAGGGAAAGAAACAAATGTTGGAGAGGTTGTGGAGAAAGGGGAACCCTCTTACACTGTTGGTGGGAATGCAAGTTGGTACAGCCACTTTGGAAAACAGTGTGGAGGATCCTCAAAAATTTAAAAATAGAGCTATGACCCAGCAATTGCAGTACTGGGTATTTACCCCAAAGACACAGATGTAGTGAAAAGAAGGGCCATGTGCACCCCAATGTTCATAGCAGCAATGTCCGCAATAGCCAAACTGTGGAAGGAACCGAGATGCCCTTCAACAGACAAATGGATAAAGAAGATGTGATCCATATATACAGTGGAATATTACTCAGCCATCAGAAAAGATGAATACCCAACTTTTACATCCACATGGATGGGTCTGGAGGAGATTATGCTAAGTTAAGTAAGTCAAGCAGAGAAAGTCAATTATCATATGGTTTCACTTATTTGTGGAACATAAAGAATAGCATGGAGGACACTAGGAGAAGGAAGGGAAAAATGAGGGCGGTGGGAATTGGAGGGAGAGATGAACCATGAGAGACCATGGACTCTGAGAAACAAACAGGGTTTTAGAGGGGAGGGGGGAGGGAGGATGGGTTAGCCCTGTGATGGGTATTAAGGAGGGCACGTACTGCATGGAGCACTGGGTGTTATACGAAAACAATGGATCATGGATCACCACATCAAAAACCAATGATGTATTGTATGGTGACTAACATAACATAATAAAATTTAAAAAAAAAGAATAGAGGTTCTGAAAAATAAAAAAAAAAGATTTTAAAATTACAGTAGAGACAACATTACAAAACATTCAAAAAGTAATTTTAGGGTGACTGGCTGGCTCAGTCGGTAGAGCCTGTGACCCTTAATCTCAGGGTCATGAGTTCAAGCCCCAAGTAGGGCACGGAGTCTACTTTAAAAAAAAAAAAAGTAATTTTATTTTTATTTTTATTTTTTTTTAAGATTTTATTTATTTATTTGAGAGAGAGAATGAGAGAGAGAGAGCACATGAGATGGGGGAGGGTCAGAGGGAGAAGCAGACTCCCTGCCGAGCAGGGAGCCCAACGCGGGACTCGATCCAGGGACTCCAGGATCATGACCTGAGCCGAAGGCAGTCGCTTAACCAACTGAGCCACCCAGGCGCCCAAAAAAGTAATTTTAATAGACGGTTGTTTTGCTGAGATTAAATTGCCACTCAATGAGACTGTCATATTGACAATACCCGAGACCTCTCCTCCTGCACTGTTCAGTTACTTGAATAAATTCGCTTTTTCCCCTTAAGTTTGTTTGAAATGGATTTTCTGTGGCTTTCCACCAAGACTTTACTCAACGATATAGTTCCTTCTGTTGCCACAACTGTGGAAACTTAAAAAAACAAAAACAAACGAAAAAAACACCGTAGGCCTGGCGTTCATTTCCATCCTTCCCTCCGCCTTTTAGCGCGGGCACCCACGGCCTCGACCCGCGCCCTCGCGCGCCGGGCAGGGCTGCAGGACGCCGGGCAGGACCTGTCTCCGAGGACGGCTGCTCAAATCCCACCGATCCCGCACAGCCCGCGTCCTCGTTGTCAGGGCTCCGTCCTATAGGAGGTGTCGCCTTGCTCTCCCCGTCTGAATCGGGGTATGTGGTTGTACCCTCGGCCGGAGCGTCGTTGTCGTACCCCACCGCTCGACCCCCTGGGTGCGCTCTTATCCTGAGCGCCCAGAGGACAAAGCCGGGCAGGGAGCCGGGTACACGGTGCACCAGAACTAATACTTGAGGGCTTATTCACCGCTGAAGACACGCTTCGGACGGCCTGGGCCCGCTCTTCGGGCCAAGGAGACAGCAGCAGGATCCCGCCTCCCAGGCAAGGCCAGCATTCGCATAACCGAGCTCTGCGTGGCTTAAAACAAGCACCACGCTGATGTCCTTTAAATCAGAGGCGACGGGCACTCTTCGCCTCAGCTGTTTCCCTCCCAGGATTGTGCCGGCCCCTGAGCACCGCCGCCCGGCACCGCCGCCCTTCGGCCATCGGGGGGCAGTAGGCGTCGAGAAGGGACGCGCACGCTCCACGTGGGGCTCCGCGCTTCGCCTCCGCGGCCGCCGAGTGACGCGAGCAAGGGCATGCGATCATGGGAAATGTGGTTTCCGAACCTCAGGACCACGGCGGTGCGCCCCCCGCGTAGGCCCAGAGCAGGACTTCAGCTCCCGGTTGGCCTGCGGGCGCGGGAGGGGACGCGAGGGAAGGGGACGCGAGGGAAGGGGGCAGGGCGAGTGTGAGGGGAGAGGTGGGCGGGGCCGGGGAAGGCCAAGCGGAGGGGGCGGGGTCTGGCCGGCTGAGGCGCCGCCGCCCGCCGTTGGAGGAACCTGAGGCGCGGGGCCGGGAACCACGGGGGGTCTGGACGGCGGCGGGCGCGAGGGCAGGCGTGCCCAGAGTGGTCGCACGTGCGTCGGCCACCGCCCCTCGGCCTTCCTCTTCGCGGGTCCCCTCCCTCTCCGCCGGGACGCGGGAGAGCCCGGCGCGCGACGGGGGCGCGAGGTGGAGCCGGCGGGGGCGGCCAATGCGAAACTGGCTGGTGCTGCTGTGCCCGTGTGTGCTCGGGGCCGCGCTGCACCTCTGGCTGCGGCTGCGCTCCCCGCCGCCCGCCCGCGCCTCCGGAGCCGGCCCGGCAGGTGAGGTCCTGGGGCCGGGAGGGCCGGGAGGCCGGGAGGGGCGGGAGGCCGCCTCCGAGCCCCCGGGCGGCTTCCTCCGCGGAGTCCCGAAGTGGGGAACGGGCCGAACGCGACCGTCCCCAGGCGAGACAAATGGCCCTTTTCATCAACGGGGCGTTAAATCGGGCAAACTCGAGGGCGCTTTTCCCGTTTCGTGTCCCCGCCGTTCTCACCTCCCGCTTTCTTCCTTTATGGGCACGAGAGCGGTGCCGCCACCGCGAGTCCTTCGTCTGTCCCCCAGGCCTGGTCCGACTTGTCCGGCGCTTGCCCGCTGGCCCTGGGAGCCAAACCTTGTGTCCTTCGGCCGCGGGCGGCCCCTGCGTGCACCCGGGCTCCGGCTGCCCGTCCGCTTGCCTCCTTCCCAAGCTGTTGGTCTTACTCGGTCAAGGCTTGGAGGTCTTAGTGCCGTGGGCAGTGCCTGTGCGTGTTCGAAAAGGCTGGGTTTTGCTTTTAAGGATAACTTTGCTTTAAGAATATACTGCATTTTGTTTTCTTTGGAAACTATGATGTAAGTCGGTTAAACAAATCTGGACATGAAACAGGGCATGGCTACGAGGGGAGTTGTTCCTGTGAGTTTGGCTTGCGAAGCCTACTAATGAAGTGTACGTGAAAACATAAAATTCTCTAACGATCCTATCCACTTGTTCTAAAACTTACACTCTCATGGGAATGAGATCTTTGTTCTTGTTCATTTCACCGCCTGATAGAATGCTTTGTCCATAGTAGGTACCCAGCGGATGTTTTTGTTGTTGTTAATGGGTTCTACCACTCTTTTTTCTTAATGGGTTTCCCTTTTTTTCTTGTCTTCTTTTTTAAGGGCTTGCCCTAGGACATATAAAGAAACCTAGAAGGCTGTTTTAAAAATGAGGTAATAGTTGTTTTGTGTTCTAACTACTCGGGGAGTTTTTTTCCTCCCACTTCTCCCCAGAACAGCTGTTTTCTTATCCAAAAGTTTTCAAAATTAGGATTGAATATTTGCAATTCTGAGATGGGTCTGTGCCTTACTTTTTAGGTAGGAAGCAAGGAAACTAATTCGGCAATGCGCAAAGTAATCTCATTGTTATAATTGGGGGTTTTTATACTGGTAACAATCTCTTAGAATCTTTTCCTATTAGACAAACCACAAGATCTTTGAAAAGGTTATTTGTGTGACCTGAATAGAATTAAAATACTGTTTAATTTATTTAATGAAAATACAGTGGTTATGGAGCATTTAACCTGTTAACAGGTTAGGATTTGGGGGCTTTTTTTTTTTTTTTTTTTTTTGAGGTTTTGTTTCTTAGGTTTTTGTAAACTGAGCTGAGGAAAGACTGTGATGGATATAAAATGCTTTGTAACATCTGTTAGATTTGTGTTTTACAGCTTTCTTTCCTTTTTTGTGCGATGAGTGAGCACTACTAGAATTTACTTGCAGAGCATTCTTAGGATATTTACGACCTGTAATTGCTTTTTGAGGTTGAGTAAACATGCAAAACCTCTTTGCCGTCAGGCTTAAAACTTAGTAGGCAATTTCTTAGTTTCAGTTAAGTTTTTCCTATCCCCATAGTGTCTGGATGATGCCCCTATCTGCCATCAAGTTAACCTGAGCTAGATTAAGGAGCCTGGGAAGTAGGCCATGAAGAGGATCAGACTATAGGTGAAGAAATCAGTAACTAGTTACAAAAATTAACTTTGACTTAGGTGGATAGTGTGCATCTGGCTAGATGATAAATTAGGTATTTTAATCTAAATGAAACCTGGCAGACTCCTAACTTTCACTTTTCAAAACTAAGAACAGTAGAAGCATATCGATCGCCAAAATTTCCTGCAGCTCCTTTTCCCATTGTGTTACCACCATGTTCAAACTAAAACATTTGGGCACTTTTACATTTCTACCCTTACACCTTCAGCCTAAAGTGAGAGAGAAAACGCAAGATTTTGTTAAGTTTTCTTCCCTTGAATGAATGTTTTAAGATTTCTCTTTGTTCTCTTGTCTGCCTCTTTGTCTTCTGGCTCATTAAATTGTGACATTATTTTTTTTTAAAGGGAGACTTACCTTCCCTGAATATTAAAAAATACAAGTCCCTCTGACTTGTAGTGGATTCAGCAAATCTTTGAGAGCCTACTCTGTGCCTGCTCCTGTTGTAGCTGTAGAGTTACAACAGTAATCCAGATCACGTCCCTGCTGTCATGCAGTTTACAATTTAGAAGGGAAGAGAGAATGGAGAAAATAATTATTTAATATCCTAGGGGATAGTGATAGGCGAGATGACAAAATGAAAGCAGTGTAAGAGGACAGAGAATGGTGTGCTGCTGGTCTAAATAGAGAAGTCAGGGGAGGCCCCTCTAAGGAGGGACCTGAATGAAGTGCAGGAGTCCTGTCTGCACCTGGCGCTTTTCTAATGTAGAAAACGGCCGAGGGGCGCCTGGGTGGCTCAGTTGGTTAAGCGACTGCCTTCGGCTCAGGTCATGATCCTGGAGTCCCGGGATTGAGTCCCGCATCGGGCTCCCTGCTCGGCGGGGAGCCTGCTTCTCCCTCTGACCCTCCCCCTTCTCATGCTCTCTCTATCTCATTCTCTCTCTCAAATAAATAAATAAAATCTTTAAAAAGAAAAGAAAAGAAAAGAAAACGGCCGAAATACGGTCCAGGAGAGCAACTGGTGAAGAGGAAGCAGGTCTCTTGAAATCTGTGGGTGGATGAGGAGATTGGAGACGGGGACACTAGACTGGAGAATATAGAGGATATATCTAATATAAGATACTCGTTTTGGGTAATACCTTAGCAGGAATTACGTAAACAGTAAATTTGGAAAAAGAATGAGACCAAAGACGTCTTCTCTTTCTAGGATATTTGGAGAGAAGGAAACCAAAGGGAAAGGAAAGAAGCATATCCATCCATTAAATGCCTAGAGCGCTAGATATCGAGCGAGCTAGATGTGGAGTCCCCTGCTCTGAGATCCTCCTAGTCTGTTGAACTGAAACAGACAGGGAGCAAGGAGAAGGCAAAAGACAAACTGAGCTTGCTTTACAATTTTGCCTAGGGCCAGTTCATCCAAAATTATCCCTGTATGTTAATCTTGTCTCTGTGCTTTGGTTTCCTTATTTATAAAATGATGATCTCATTGGATATAAGATACAACACAACACCCAGAAAAGTGCCTGATTCATAGTAAACACTCCATGAATTTTAGAGAGGAGGAATAGGATAGTGGTGGCTGGTGCGTAGGCTAGTGAGGTATTTGGGGAGGTTTTTGAGATTGGCGAGAGCATACTAGTAGTGTATGTGATGATTGTCCTTATCAGTAGATCTGTCATGAAGTTATATGTTTCCCTCATTTCCAAGATTTCTGCTAATTTGTGATTGATGTGAGAGCATGCATGTGAGAGTGGAAATTTTGGTCTGATTTTTAAGAATCCTTGGGCCTATTTTGAACAATTAGTTTTGAAATCAACCTCCCTTGGTCTTGAATAAATTTTTGGATGTCCACTCTAAGTGCAGAGCCTCACAGGTTGCCAGACCCTCAGGATACATTACATATTAGAGAATAGAATGCTGTTGTCCTCAGGGAGCTTGTGTGGGGTTTTAATTATTCCTGGCATGAAAATTTGTTTTTTGTTTATTGCTCTATATCTACCGTCTAGAACAGTGAACATAGGTGCTTAGTAATTTGAAGGAATGAATCAAGAGAATAAAACTGGGAAAGTATAAAGGGGCGCCTGGGTGGCTCAGTTGGTTAAGCGACTGCCTTCGGCTCAGGTCATGATCCTGGAGTCCCGGGATCGAGTCCCACATCAGGCTCCCTGCTCGGCAGGGAGTCTGCTTCTCCCTCTGACCCTCCTCCCTCTCATGCTCTCTGTCTCTCATTTTCTCTGTCTCAAACAAATAAATAAAATCTTTAAAAAAAAACCAAAAAACTGGGAAAGTAGGTATGAATTTGTCACCTATATATCATCTATTCACATTCCATGATGACCTTAGGATACAAATTTTTTCTTATAAAACAAGTTCTTTGTAGAAAAATTTGAAATTATTTTTAAAAACAGGGAAAATGATCTATATTTTTTAAAAATTGTATTGATGTATAATATACATTCAGAAAAGGGCCTGTAAATGTATAGCTTGATATATTTTCACAAACTGAATATACCCAACTAATTCTGCACCTCAGAAGCAAGCTCCCTTCATGCTCTCTTGCATCACTGCCAGGAGTGGTAACCACTATCCTGATCTTAAATGGCAGAGATTTGCCTGTTGGTACTTTATATAAATGGAACCACACAGTATGTACATTGTTCTTATAGTCTGCTGATCTTAATGTGGTGAATAACAATATAACTCTATGGCTACATATAGATACACCATAATTTAACTAATGCTTTATTTCTGCATTCCTGGATTTTTGCAGTTTTTCACTATTAATAAATGACATTGTGATGAATAGAGATCTTTTAGTACATCACTGATTATTTCTTTTATTTTTTAAAGATTTTATTTATTTATTTGATAGCACAAGTAGGCAGAGTGGCAGACAGAGGGGAAGGCGGAGGGAGAGGAGAGGCAGGCTCCCTGCTGAGCAAAAAGCCCGACGTGGGGCTTGATCCCAGGACCCCAGGATCATGACCTGAGCCGAAGGCAGATGCTTAATCAACTGAGCCACTCAGGTGCCTGATTATTTCTTTAGAATAAGTTCTTAGACATGGAATTGCTGGACAGAAGTTATACAGTTCTGGGGAGCCTGGGTGGCTCAGTCAGTTAAGTGTCTGACTCCCGATCTCAGCTCAGGTCTTGATCTCAGGGTCGTGAGTTCACGCCCCGTCCGTGTTGGCCTCCACTCTGGGCATGGAGCCTTCTTAAAAAAAAAAAAATTATCTGAGGTAGTTGATGTGTATTGGCAAATTGTCCCATAGAAGACTACCAAATTCCATTCCAGCAGCAACGTAGGAGAGGACCCATTTCCTTAAAATAGCTCTCCACATTTCCT